GTCAAGAAAATTAATACCAGTGTGACGAAACATATATTATGTATTTCTCACTAGGGAAAAATTTCGAAAATATTTCCTTCGTCAGAGGGATATCATTATTTCATTTTAAAATAAAATTCCGCTCTGGCATGTGCTTTAAATTTCTGAAAATTGTTGTGACCACCGTTCCAACGTGTGACATTTTCCGACACGATTGGCCAATTGCATTGAGTAGTCATTGACAAATTAATGACTTTTTTTTAACTTTCCCCAAATTTGCATTCAAAAAGCGAAGCATGTCCTGCCTTCAGCGCTCTAAGTAAGACTTTCACGATAAACGAAATCGAAATTGCCTCATTTGACTTGGAGCCAATCTCTGGCCTATGTTAAATCAATTCTGCAAAATGCGCATGTTGGCAACAAAAAAAATCGCGAAATTCGAAATAGACGCCTTCTGATCATACCTCTTCCCGAATCTTTTCCCAGACCCGCTTCGAGGGAGGACAGTTATGCCATAACTCGTCCGATCTACATTCATGATGTTTTTGCACCGCGTCGGGAAAAATCACACGATTTATTTTCTGTAAGTTTCACATACCTCGTGCCTAGGTCGCCGGAATAAAAATCGACTGTCCTTCAAAGTGGAGTAAAAATGTACGTTTTCATGAGGTGCATGGATTTTCAGTATTGCTCGAAATGATTTATTTCCTTGGACGCGGTGAGTGCGCATTTTTATGCCAGCTCTCGTGGTAGCATGCCATAATGACTCTGAAGCTACGATGCACAATTCCATGTCGTGCCCGATACCACGACATGGACATGGCATAGGAAGCAGTCTTCATGGCGTCGAGTGATAGAAATGATTCAAACCCCCATAATTTCTCACCGGGAAAGGTGAATGTTTGACTCCAATTTGAAGAGCAATCGATTTATATTCAGACAACCTAGGTGCGTCAAACTTTCAGGAAACAATGTTTATGGTGTTTTCCATGTGATACGTAAACATCTCGAACCTAGATCATCCACAGAGGATTTATTAAAGCGTGAAACATGTCTTTTTTGTGGGCCGCTCGGTAATTCCACGGTGTCCCAGAAGGGGGTACCCATTTTTATTTATTGAATGCACCAAGCATACGCAAGCTTTCGGTCGAAACCTATATGTGATGGGAAAAATCGTCCCTGAAGTTTTATCGGAAATACGGTTTCTCCATCGTAAGCGGCGTGGATTGAAGCTCATGGAATTGCGGTGATTGTACGGAGAGAATGCCAGCCTCACTTTTCAGAGGCGACTTGCGAATTGAAAATTCCCTGCGAAAACCTGGATTTTCCGATGAGTCGACATTTCACTTTTCCGCCAACGTAAACGAGCATAAAACTGCAGAATTTTTGGGGGGACACAGAAGTCAGGAACCGTTTCGCCAACGACTCGCCAAAAGTGAACGTGCGGTGTCGGTGTCCCCTGTCATCTTTTCTCATCATTCGTCCATTTCTCCTCGCGGAAAACCACATCACTGCTGAAAATGGCCTCAACCACGTCACAAACGTAAGTTCCGCTCAACATACCTGCAAGAAGACACTTTAAACCCGCTGTGTTAACGCAACTTCTCCCGACGGCGGTGATGGACCCGATCTGACCCAAGGGAGCTGGAACCTGAATAAACGACGCACCAAAGCAATTAGTATTATTTACCAAGTAACTTTTAGTCTTGACAGTCACGTATTCGTTAAACCGTGAGAAGCTGCCGTCTCAGATACCCACAGTCCTTGGATGACCAGCGGGATCAATTTTGCCGCTCAGAGCATATCACCTGTCATCTGTGCGAAAGTTTTGGAAAATTTTTATTCGATGTTTCCATGAGTGTACTGAAAGGGGAGGTGTACGTGTTCTAGTATTAAACTAAATTTCAAACATTACTCTCCACGTTCATTAAGGGTTTTGACTAAAGGCTTTCACATGTTCGGTGTATTCAAGAAATAAAAAGGAACACCTCTTTCTGGGACACCTTGAGTATTTAATAAATATTAAATACGCAGTATATCGTAAGGGACTAAGTGGGTAACTGACGCTAGTTTAACCATGCTCTAGAAGAGATGAGATGCTGAAACTTCGTTCACGANTAACGCAACTTCTCCCGACGGCGGTGATGGACCCGTAGACTGGGTTCCCTCGACCTTGGACTTATTTGCTGCGTGGTTTCGTTAATCATAATAAATGGTTCATTGAAAATCAGAACTGTCAGTGCATAAGCAATTTGGCACTCTTCGACGGCAGAGTCTATGCCACAGTCCTTGGATGACCAGCGGGATCAATTTTGCCGCTCAGAGCATATCACCTGTCATCTGTGCGAAAGTTTTGGAAAATTTTTATTCGATGTTTCCATGAGTGTACTGAAAGGGGAGGTGTACGTGTTCTAGTATTAAACTAAATTTCAAACATTACTCTCCACGTTCATTAAGGGTTTTGACTAAAGGCTTTCACATGTTCGGTGTATTCAAGAAATAAAAAGGAACACCTCTTTCTGGGACACCTTGAGTATTTAATAAATATTAAATACGCAGTATATCGTAAGGGACTAAGTGGGTAACTGACGCTAGTTTAACCATGCTCTAGAAGAGATGAGATGCTGAAACTTCGTTCACGAGTAGCTGTTAGAGTGCAGAATCCAGAAAAACCCCGACTTTGGAGGTACATCCCCTGGGGTCCCATTACGGGTAGACTAACAGAACAGACCCTAGTAATTCCAATTTTATTAACTAATAATATAGAAGTGTTTTCCTGGGACGGTCTTGATGGTGCCTGGTCTTCATGGAGTGTTTCCCATATGAATGTTTTTTTTTTACATTTTTGCGTAACATGACTACCTCAGCATGGTGAATGGCTCTAGCACCTATCGAAGTAATACAGGTTATCAAAAGAAAGGACAGACTCACGTGGAACAACTTCCCCGCGTCAGCATTGCTCGCATATCAATTACAATGACGCTTTAGCATGGCATCAATCCTCTAACATTGATTCAATGATGATTCGATGTTAAAAATGATATATTACGAGAACGTTGACCTGTCAAAGTTGCATCAAGAGATGTCGGGCGAGACATCTGGCAAGACATGCAAACATACAAGACTTCCTGAGTGATAACGGCAACTTGTCTAACGTGGTTCGTTTCCTCATACATGCCATCAGTACGCGTATCTAGTACTTTTGGAGCAGTCGATTATTTATTTCATCTCGGTATTAAGTCGCATTTTTCCTTGGATGGAGGGGATACACTTAATAAAAAAAAAGATTCGGAGGAGGGAGATAGTCACCTGATGCTACTCAAATAATAATTGAGTCCTGAAACGGCGCATGCGCACGAATTAAACAGATTCTTGAGACCAGTCATGTCAACGTTGAACCATCGTGGATTCAACATTTCTTCAATGTCGAAGAAAATGGATTTTCCATATGGAGTCAACGATGATGAGCAAATGCTGGGTGAACGTCGTAATTTTGCTTTTGAACATTGAATCAATATTAATATACTGATGATGTCAACATTGAATCAATGTTGACACAATGTTATGTGCTACCAGGGTTGGGTTCTCCCTTGGACCAACACGACCGATCGGACAGGCAGCTTGGTAGCAGTCAAGATTCCTGTTAGTGCATTTCCCTGCACCTATCCGAGGGACCCCTCCCATCTGCGCTGAACAACCCAGCACGCACGTGACGTCATGGGAGCATCAGCCAGAAACATCTGCCGGAAGCAGAGGCAGCAGAGCCTCTTTGAATAAGGATGAACACAAAGACCCCGAGTTCTGAAGCTTATGAGCCTGAGCGGGCTGCAGGCCGACCTATTCGTCCCTACACGACCTGCAGATGAGGTCCGCAAAGCTCGGCCTGGCGATTGAGTTTCGCGTCGGGCAGGACCGCGACTTGAATCGGGTCTATCGAGTCGGGTTCAAATAAGTAGACTAATGCAGGCCTTTGGCAGACAGACGGAGGACATCGGCTGTTTTATACATGGTCCCAGCACTACGTTACATTGGAAGGGTCTCGAAGACTCCATGATGAACAAGAAAATAGCCGCATTCAAATTTAAAAAATATATATATTGAGTAAAAATATATAGGAAAGTACAAGTCTGTTTGAAAAAACGAACCCGATTATGCCGCGAACAAATTTTCATCACGCTCCCGTCTCTGTTCCCTAATAACCTCCCACGAGGAATGTAAAAATATCATAATTTAACTTCGGTGTAAATCTGAGGATCACCACATAACTGTTTTCCCATCCAAGTTGTTGTAAACAGGCATGGTCCACAGGCATTCAGAATAATGTGCACCATTTCATTGTTATTTAGGTTTCGTAATGCGAGAGACAACGCGACTTCGATCATGGGTCTCACGCTCACGTTCCCATTCTTCCTTATATTCCCGTTCGGATATGTCTGTATGGCATAGAATATATTTTCTTAATGAATTTCGGAAATATAAAACCACTGGACTTGAAAGAAAACCCTGTTGCATTTTCTATTACGTCTGAGAGGGACTTCGAATGCTTCGATTGATCATCGGACCCAATGATTTATTAAATGTGGAGTGTTCCTTGTCCTTCGTAGAAAATACAGTGGAATCCAAATGGGTTTGGGTCTTCTTCTTCGGCTCCCTTAATGCAGTGTAAAGTTTTCACAAAGACTCTGCAACAAGTAGCCCATGAAGGAAAAAATGAGTCCACCGGTCATTTCCCTAATTCCCCATTACTTGTAAAAACGTGAGAGCATTGAGAGATCCCAGAAGAATCTTCCCGTGTTCGAGTATACGAAACGTTTGAAATTAGTCGACTAAAAACTTTACTCAACCTCGAGTGAATGAATCCAAATTTGGAAAGGTGAACCTTTGCAACACAAAATTTGAAGCAATGGACATACGCATCCGTTCTGACTCCAGAGATCTTCTCGTCATGGAACTCCTTACTCCCGAAGTTGGATAGACTTAACGATTTAAACGCGAAAGACTTCTAACGGGGAAACTCGGCATCACTGGGAGCGATGAAGCTTCCACCGAATCACATAGTAAGCCAGAACCCTCAGGACGACGTTGCAAAAAATGAGGACCCAGAAGTCGGTCCAGTACACGTTGTCCTCCAGGTCCAACTGCCTCAAGAACTTGTCGGGATTCTTGAACTGACAAAAGGGCTGATTGCACAGGAGGTCAGATCGGTTGTAGCCGTAGATGCAGTGCATCGTTCCCTCGAAGTAATACTTGAGGAAGGAGATGTGGGAGACCCAGCGTATGTAATGCGGAATCGTCTTCACGGTCAGGAGGGAACCCGAGAATAAGAGGAAGGGCGCTGTGAATACGGGACCCACGAACACGGCTGCCTGCCGGGGAAAAAACGCAGGACAGATGTCACGTGAACAGCGAAATTAATGTCATCCGTTACACTATTTCAGAAATGGACTAATACAACAGTGTAATGATGTATTCTATACAAAAAATTATTAATTAGCATAAGTTGTGCATAACTGCACAAATTCTCCATGCCCTGAATTTTTGCCCTATGTTTTGTACATAATCTAAACCCGGATAAGTGCAACCCGGCTAAGTGCACAAACCGCATAAGTGCACATGTCTTTTAAGCCCGGTGTGCAACTTTTGTATGGAATCGTGCACAGATAAGTGCACAAGGAGGTGGCCCCGCCCAAATGTCACTCAAAGTGTCATTCTATAGCAGTTAAATCTAGTACTGCGGATTTGTTTTTAGTTTATGCCCCAGGGAGGCGTAGCCTATGGCCCAGTGCGTAATTGTCTTGTAGGCCAACGGAATACGTATTCCGGGACCCGCATGACTAGGGTTAGCGGGCACTTTGTTGCGTAGGTTTTGAGTGAATCTGTGCGTTCTGTCTGAACGGACTGTCGTATGAGAGAGGGAGAACCCATGTCAGCCCCGAAAAGAAAACTCACATCTCTAAGCATTGATCAGAAACTCGAAATTCT